GAAAATAGGGATTGATGGTAGAAGGGTAAAAATATAGAGTTGTATTTACTAATAAGATTCTACGTATCATAAGAAAATTAAAATAAAAAATATCCAAGAAATAAAACGAGTTGAACCACTTTATCGCTTGGGGTATAAAAAAAACTTAACGTACTATTCTCAGATTACTAAATTTACACACAAAATTTCATAAGAATCGGTAAAGCCGTTTCGTAGGTATTTTGTTACAAACATTGTGATAGAATAATTTTATATAATAAAGAGATAAAGTCTTTATCATACAAAAGTCTTTTTAGTCAAAATAGTAAGACTTTCATATTTTAAAAAAGTGCAACAATATCTTATATTCCTATTTAAGTTGTACTATTGTATCTGTGTATCTTGTTGTTTTACCTTCTGTACTTTGGGTTTGGTGCATGGAGCAAATTACCAGTGACCTATTTGTATGTACGTGTCAGTGCTTTGTAAGTACCCAATTACGTGTCAAGAACCGTGAACCCTGCTTTGACTAATGTTGCCTTGTGCGTGCTCTCCCAATTCTAAACCATTAAGCAAAAGGTTCCTTGTATGTATTCGCTTTATCTACATCTACATTAATATCTCAACTTGTTATAACAAGTGCCATAAGATTTTGAAAATATTCTTAATTCAGTCTCTTTATTTATTCTACTTTATCATCAAGTAGTATTTAAATAGAACCAATAAATTAATATCAATGACTGCAGTAACCTTTATTGGTTTCAATAAATGGATTTGTGTTTAGTTTTAGCATTTAATAAATTTGGATGGATTGCTTATCAAATTTACGAAATGTTTGGCTTTATAATTAATTATTCATCCAGTCCCATCCTTTGGGTCGACAAATAAGATTAGACATAATAAACCTATCTTGCGCTTCTAGTCCACGATCCCAGGGCTGACAGACCTTATTTATTTTCCGATGGACAGAAAATGAATAATCGATTAGGTAGTATCAGTGTGTTCAATGAACGTATACATACTCGCTAACTTGCAACAGGTAAATAACTCGGACAAAATTTTAGTCTGCATAATTTCATTCAGCCTAGTTGGTTTTTGTAATCAGTGGGATAGGTTAGGTTAGTATAGTGACTTAAACTTTGCGCGAGCCGAGCGAACAAAGCGAGCGTGCCGCGGCAGCACCAGTGAATCCCAAGCCTAAAATATAAATATTTGTATGCATGTATATATATACATGTATATATATATATATACATACAGGTTGGTCCAATTAGTGACGTCAACAAATTTGTTTAGATTCCTCGCACCTGGGAGTTCGAAAATACCCCATGTATGTTCCGCGATTTTTCTTAGTTTTCGAGTATACTTTTTTATGTGTATTTTTAATGATTTCTGCCAGCGAGGTTTCAAAAATTCATATCTTTTTTTCGTAGTAGGTATTTTGCAGTTTTTTTTGTGACATAATTGTCTTGAATGTTGTTTTAATAAAAAAAGAAATCAGCTTCCTGAAATTACTCAAAAAAGGCTTGAATGTTGGAAATTTATTTTTTAGTAGGATGCCAAATGATTTTCTGCGTAATGAATTTGCTGCCATCCGCTGATATGCATAGTACTAATATAAGAACATTAAAATCTCTTCTATAAAAGGTACACCCGTCTAATCTAAGTAATGAAATTCAAAATGAGCTTTGGTATTAATTTTAGCGAAACTTCATAAACGCGTATTTATCTCTAATCCTTCAGAGTTTGAAGCGTCAATTTCGTATTAACTTGCATGGTCCGCTTGCATTAAGCTGTGACGATCCCTCGTGGTGAATTTGAAAAGGATTCATCATGTATGCTCATTTGTGTACGTTCGTTTGATATATGTAGTGGGTTTTGTTTGTATAAATCTAACTTCTATCATCATAAGGTTCTATGTTCTATTATGACAAGAGTCATTATGTGTGTGTCAAACTCGTGGTAGATGTGTCATGTTTGTTTTATCAATTTAATGTATTCCTAATGCATTAATATAAAAATCTTAGCTTTCTGCACGAGCAAGAGCTCCACGTTTACTTTTATTATGCAATTAAATCTCATCCATCTATGAGGAAAATGTGCTTAACAATGCAGCAGTTTTCGTTTTTTTTTCTACACATAGATTTTAGTTCGCTGTCGTATTTTTTATCAGTCCGATTTTTAGGCATCGATTGCAATAGTCTGCGTTGAAAAAAATTAGTTTAGTGTACGCATAATGATAGGTATTGAAACAAGTATTGTGATCTACGCAATGAAATGAATGTGTATTTTAGAGGTATTCGTAAATTAAACCTAAAATCAAAATCTACCAAAGTCAATATACCATATAAAAGGTTTGAAATACAATAACATTGAAAGTAGAAACATAAATGAAAAAAACTACAAAAGATAACACACTGTAGGTATTACCGTACGAACCCTCACGAACCATAAATGTGGACAAAAGTCGAGTGTCTCATTCTGACGTGAAATAAACAGTATTACTTTTTCAAAATTTTCAGACTATTATATTACGACATTGCTCGGTCCTGTCTCAAGGTGGAGTGACATCCTATACAATATCGAATCAAAACCCAATAGGGTCTCAATAACATGATGTCAGTCTTTACCTGATTTTGTTCTCCCCAGAGAATGTTGTATTGATAGTATATTTGGCATTTTTCTTATACAATAACAGTGATCGGACGTTTAAGTCCGGCCTCAGAACATTAACAAAGGCTGAGTGTCCGCCTATTGATAAATTAAATAAACTTGTTATTTTACTAAATCTACTACAGTGATCGTCCATCCTCATATTTCCTACTCAAACTGATGGAAATTGGTTATTTTATTGAAATTTGGATGGAATTAATTTCGCTACAATTTGAATTTCTGTATAAATGAATACAAATTGGAGGTAAAACGTTATTCTTTTACACAGCGCGGTGTACCTACCAATGGTGGAGAAGGAATAGATTTTATTATTGGTTTTGAATAAAATTCAGGTGCTTAATTAATGTCTTAAGTGTTTGGTTCGCTTCATTGCGAGAAGGATTCACAATATTGAATTGTTATTGTTTTTTTTTCATGAATTGACATTGCAGTTTATTATATGGTGAACTATATAAATATTTTTATTTCTAACAACTGAAGCCTCGCGTATTATATTCTCTTGAGTTTCTTAAGAAACGCGTTGTAAGAGTTGGGGTGAACTACCTGTGACAATGGTACACGGATATTGGCATCAGTGATTACTAGCCGCAAATAGTAATACGTTCTTCTAACTCCTCGCAATAAAAGCCCAAGCCATTAGACAACTTCTAAATAATAGATAAATAGGTAACATACCTTTTCTATTTTTTTTTTCCTTTTCGTCTTAGAATAAGTGTACGATTTCTATAGTCTATCTATTTTTCTATCACTAACTAGTGGATTTAGTTGTATGTAGCCAAAGGATTTGTCTACAAATAGCCTCTAAAGATTTTTTTTATTTGTACCACAAAAAGCATCTTTGCGTCACATAATTTACACCTTTTAGGTAACATGGTCATTATATCTGTTTTACCTAGTTACATGGACGGAAGTTTCAACTCGAAATTAAATGGGTATATTCTAATGCGCGTCTTTGTATTTTGTATTTTCAGTCGCGATATAGACTGATTTCAATGTTTGAATTATTTTTTGATAGAATTTGGTAATATGTTATCCTACTAATATTATTATCAAAAAAGTCTGTTTAGATATATATGTGTGGAAATTTGTTACTTTTTCACGCTAAACCGACTGAACAGATTTGACTAAAATTTTGCATACATGTACTTTATTACCTAGTTTGACACATATGATACTTTTTATCTCGGAGATATCTCGTTAGATGCTGATTAAAAAATCTAATAATAACGCCGATGAAGTCGCGGGCGGTAGCAAGTCATTTTTAAATTAGCAGACAAAATAAGCTGTACTATTTCTATAAGAATCCTGATAAATAATCCAGTTCAATTGATTTCACATGAGAATTGAATCTTGTTCAAGAGGTCTAAAATTTTAAATCTAATGCGACATGCAATAATTTTTGGCACTGTAATAAAACTGCCATTTTAGAATAAATAGGCATTCTAGCATTCTTACTTTCTCTAGCTAGGCAGTCTTCTGTGAGATAAAGGAATATTTATTAACGTGGGCGCTTCAATTCGGATTAAAACCCCGATGTAGTCTACCTTCGTTGAATGTAAAAGTTCCCAAAATACTCCAACTGAATAAGGTGTGTTACACATTTAGATTTTGTAGTCTCCACGGAATACGCAGGCACTTGTCGTTACGTTCATTCAAGTAACGATCGGTATACTCCTATGTGTAATAACTTGGTTACGACACTGCCGATCCCGCCGTAAGTCTCTCCCCGGGTGACTATTGTCATGTCTTATAGCAATATTAATCTGTAATGGGGTTCGGACGACCCCTATATGACGTCATCAGAAGTTACGCTTCACATATTTCTGAATATCGTAAAATGTAATCAGCCCAGTTTGTAACCACTTGTTGAATTGCCCAACAAAAACAATGATGAAATGTAAGGAGAACTGACATACTTAGAATGCGCCAGGTGAAAATAGTAAATGCACAGAGTTAGCTGAAGATTTATAAACGGACAAATTTGTTTTGATAAGTATTACACGGCATAGACTGGCAACCTCTTACGATTTATTTTCAGTCGGCTAAGACCCAGCACAACATGCTAATTGTACCGTCCTTGGGGTGTAGCTACTATAGTGTTATCATACCTACTTCAAGTATATACTTATATCTATCTCAAAGTATAGCCAGTTGGATGTAAAGTTTTCTTTAAGAAGCCTAGGGAGCATAGCAGAATTCCCGTTGGAATTGGTGAAATTGAACCTCCATCCCAGATCAAAGACCCAGCGGGACACTCACACCTATAACCATAGTGTGAAGCTACGAAAGGGATAAAAGAAAGAAAAAAAGAAAAACAAAACACGGCGCTTATTCTTCTGCGATTCATAATGCGAGAACAATTTCGTAACGAGCTGTTATTGTCGCGTGGAAGCGATTTGAGGTTACGGCCCGCGGGTGGTCGGGCTCACGGCCCACCTAATGTAACCGTGACCCACTTCCAACACGCCAAGGTGACATCCCGATTCAATACCCCGGATAAACTGACTTTATGCACGGCAGTAAAGTTTCACGGAGCATGACCGGTGTTCGCGCCTTTATGATTTTTTTTATATAAGACTCGTCAGTCAAAATCTAACGAAGGACGTAGTGTATAACGTATTTCCTTCTCAATCGAGCCTGTTCGGGAAAGTCTTTACCTAACAAAATACTAATTTAATGTCCTTTGTTTCTTCTACCATGTGATTAGTTTGACTTTCATCAAGTGTATGAATAAATAATTTGTATTTATTTTCACAACAAACCGTTATCACAATAGGCATTGTAGATTGGTAGATACATTAACTTTTCCAACTTTGGGCTTTTAGCAAATCACGAAATGAAAAAACGTAGGCGGTGTTAATAGGGTGAAATTGTTTTATTTCGTATCGGGAAACCTTCCGGTAAAGGGAAGTGTAGATGGAAGAGTTTCACGGACTAACAAGTCCGTTATTAAAAACGATAAAGGTAAAACATTTTAAGGTGATCATAATTATCTTTTTTGATTCTGACTATTTTCCTCATGATGTAATTCCCTTTAAACATATTACTTATTTCATATAACCAGCAGTACGTACTAGTCCGGGAGTGGGTATGGCTCGATTTGTTCCCATAGAAGGCCTATCTCAGCTAATGATAGATGTTAATCTAATTCCAAAGAAATGTTATCCTTATAGAGAACCTAATATTAATGTTATAAGAAGATAAATCAAACTAACAACTTTCTATACTTATACAATAAACAACTATTTCTTGGGGAATGTAAAATTTATTGACAAAAAGGTACAAAGAATGTTCCTTACTAGACTACACATCACATAAGTCGCGAACTCTTCTCTTTTAGAGAGGTCCTTTTCTTTAAATATCTAATATTTATATTTTGAACGCTGGTTATCATACCTGTCATTATGATATTCATATTAAGCCTCAACATTGCGTTCATTACGCAGGCCCAATTTAAAATATAATAGCCTATCGAGTAAAGTACGGATAAAGGAATGAAGAACCGGAGCAAAAATTGTGACCCGGGATTTCTGGGACTACCCATTAAAGGGACCGGGACTCCTGGAATATTGATGCCTTCACCAGAGCCTCGGTCCAGCTGATGGGCCCACAGAGTAAGCCCACTCTGAGCGTCTTCAGGTGCGCGGTCGCACTCTTTGCTAAGTTTCTATGTCGGTTACTTTAGTTCTCCGACGATTTCCTTATTTCTGGTTCTATCAATTAGAAAAATACCGAGCATCCCTCCCTCCTATGCTCGCTGTGCGATCTTAAGCCTTCCGTTTCGCTTGCCTACACTGATGTAACACAGGTACAGGCTACTGTCTTTAGTTTTTTCGTAGATTCCCGAAGCCCGAACCACGGTAATATATTACCGTGCCCGAACGCTGCGCAACCGAGCGGGTTTCAATGAGAAATCCCTTATACGTACTGATCAAAAACTTAGTATTACCATTTTTAACTGATGTGTGTACACATATTTCGGTCTTATCCATATTCATATTTGGAAAGCACTACTACTTAATCTTCAAGGAAAGTGTTTAAATCTTCCAAGGTCTCAGTCATAAAAACAACTTCATCATTTTTGAACCGAAGGTGAATAAGTTGATATTGATGAAAAGCCCTTTATTCTATTCTAGAAGCTTGAAAATATTCTCCAACTCTGAATGGTTTTTTAATGTCCCTGCTTCAAGCGTCGTTGCAGTTGGGAGCTCTAACTCTCTGACATAGTGGCGTTTTCGTAAAAATACCTTTACACCTGGATTTGTCTGTAGTCTACTTATCACCTTTGGAGAGACTGAATTGAAGACGTTTTCGAAGCCCACAAACGTCAGGCAATCGAGCAGATTATACTCTTATGTTTATTGTATAGGCTGCCACTGTGTTTAGTCTATGCTAGGTACTAAAGCCTTTTTGAAACCTAGCTTGTTCGGGGGTTGGAAGGCTTCAAACCCGTGCGCGCGTCGACTCGTAATGACTCTCCAGAACAACTTAAACATGGCTCAGAATTGAGATGTGAATGAAGAGATTATTGAAGTGGCAAAACATTCTTAAAGATAGTTCCTCAAGAGTGCCTTGTTACTTATTTGAAGAATAGAAACACCTCAATTATGTTCCATGATTTCGGTGTTATGCCTTCCAGGACGATGAAAAGGTTCTGGAAGACTGAGTATCAAATTACTCTAACCTTTCAGGCTTTCAACCAATCTAGATTATAACTGCCCAAAGAAACTCTAAACCACCCTATGGATTTCTGTTTTATACGAAGTATTTAAAAACGTTGAAATCAGTCTATGTTTCTTCAAAACACAAGCACATCCAATCGCAAGTTATCACACAACAAAGTCAAAAGATATTTAAATTATCGGTTTTTATTTAGTCCCGAAAGTAACAAATGTATTGGTATGAGGTTTTCAGTCCCGGATATTTTAGCCATCGCAGAATCCCGGGATTTTCGGGATTTACCGGGACCATTCCCTTGTACGGATATTAATGAAATTGATTAAGTAATGCCTATTATTTATATTTTGTCAATAAGAGCTGTAGAAGTTTACGTGAAGATAAAATAAAAGATTGTTAATAGTATAAACGTTGCATAATGTTTCTAGTAGACTTACTAAGATTAGAATACCAATACGAGATGGTACTAGGTCCTCAGGTCAGTGTGAATGCGGTCGTTTTATAAACTGCTTACACAGCCTTTCACACACAGATTTTTTAATTGAAACATTTCTAAATAACATTATTAATAGCCAAAGAATCACCTCTTTAGCCAAAAAGTATAAATAAATGTGTTTAATGGTTTCCGAACAAAACTTCAAAATAAAATTACATTAATCCAGTAAATATGAAATTCAAAAATTTCACTCTATAACAATACAATTGGTATGACCACTAACTTTGCTTTTTATAAATATACAGATGTGAGTATCTCTTAACATAATTCTGTGGTGTCTGTATAAAAAGAAATACTGTCCCTAATATATTCCAAAAAATTACGAGCGGGTACGACGACCGCCCTAAAGGGCACTTTTATATATATGCTCAAAGTAATGTCCTCCAAAGCGTAATGCCTCCACAAGATACTTTACTCCGGTGAGTGCCGTAAAATACATACATAAATATCTTCAAATGTCTTCTTACCAACTGACAACGAATCAAACTGGAAAATGAAATGCTGGAACTCCTTTGAGACATAAAACAAATAAAAGGCCTAACAGAAGCCCTCCCGCATTGTTTTGTACATCGTGACCCAGATATAGAAGCTCCCTCATCCTCAATGTCGTATTATGTTACCATTAAAGCTTGTTGACTTAACCCTTCAAGACTGAACACCGTAACGTGGTTTCGTTACTTACGTATCGGGGCTTTGCGATGCAATGTCACGCGAGTTAAAGCTAATTTATTTTCATTATCATATCAACCCTCCTAACCATATATTTTTTTTGTCTACGTGAAATTGGTATTCTTGCCTGAAATTAATATGTGGCGGCACTGCTTGCAAGGGATTTTTTCGGATGAAAAATTCTCTTTTTTTATTCCGTTGCCAAAACTTCCGAACTTTGTCGTGCCTTCCATAGGAGTTTTGGTAATGGATGAGTGGTTCGAACAGCTCAGTGGTGCAGTGATATCGCATTGTATGACAGCACTGGGCTAATGGCACACTGACCTAAATCTGGTCTGCAGTTAGCATTGTCTAGATACACTTTTCTGTTTGCTACGTTTTCTGGCACTGAATCTGTAACGACGTTATGAATATTCGGTCGGTCAGTCGTTATTATCTCAGCGATCAGAATTTTGCTTTTTAAAATAACTTCTTAATGTTTTCCTGTAAAGGTAGTTTGTTATCAATAATTATTCTTTTGCCATTATAATAAAAAAATCTTAATGTGGTTTTGACAATTTGGATATCGTATTGTTTATTGTGAATATTATTGATAACATAATGCTTACCTTTTATTCTCGTGTGAGAGGGACAGTTGGCAGAGGCAAATATGAAACATAAAATTGTCATTACTCCAGGGCCCATTTTAATTGTCGTTCAGCAATCGACAGCGACTGTGAAATTTAATGAACCGCATTTGGGCCAAGGCTTTTCGGATGCTGTTAGCGACAAAATGTCACTTTGTTCGAACGATCGCGTATATTTGAGGCAAACATTTCACAAAAATATGTACGTAAAAGTAAAATCGTTTTATATTTCCATAATTGTCCATTGCTGTTTGGAATCTACTATATTTTATTGCCACATAAACGTTTCTGCTTGAGTAACTTAAATGTTCTGGTTTTTAGAACAGAAGAGTTCTGACACAAATATAATTAAGTGTAATTTTATTTCTTCTATTCTCCTTTTAAATGGCTCCTTTATATATTTTGCTGATTTTGCCAGTGAGACATTTTTTATTTTCATTTATGAACTAGAGGAAAATGTTAAGGAGCACATAAATGTATAAAAAAATGTACATTTATATATATACTTAAATGTCACTAGTAGTATTGACGCTATCGTGCGAGTGCAGTATGCGTCTTCACCCGGACGATATTTCATTTATAGTATTTTATAGCTTACTTCTGGAAATATTTGCGGAGGGAAGGTCAAACACAATGTACGTTCCCTCCCCGATCTTTCCTCGCAACTAGGTTTTTTAACCTGTAAACTTTTGGAAGAAAACGAAACTTTAATGATGAAACAAGGAATATATTCATAGAATTGAAATTAAAATATAGTGACAGAGAGATAAAAAACAATAATTTCTAAAACCGTAAGAATATTGAAAAGGATTAAATACCACCATCTAAATTCCATGAGCGCAAATTCTCATTTTTCCCTGCTTTCTGTCAATTTATTTGGATTACTCAACTAGCGATACGACTAAGCGTATAAATCCGTGCTAATTCATCCCGAAACCGAGCGATCGATACCGGATCATGGGATCGAATTTTTTTTCCTTGTCCAATTAAAACCGTGCACACCCGTGAATTCTTTTGCTGTGCCATGACTTGAATATTTTATGGCAGCTCTCCTACGGGAAATTAGAGGTTGGTGCAACTTAATATTTGTACTTAAGATTCTGTTTGAGTTCGCTTTAAAAAAAATGAGGTGTTTATAATTTTTATTATTTTGAAAGGAAAGGCAAGTGGTTCTGGCACTTGATTGACTGTTGTAATTTTGTACAGCTACATTGTTTCATACAGCTATTTTTGGCTAAATTATTATATGCGTCATTATTAATTTTAAAAAGGTTTAATTATTTTGATATACCAACTTCAGAAAAGAACGCCTTAGAATACTTGAACATTTATCGAACTTTCAATATTTAAGCACTTACAGGGGACTTATTAAGCTCCAAAATCCTACAGACAAGATTTATTGAATTTCATTCCTTATCTTTTTTGAGTAATCTCCATTGATAATTTCGTATTGAAGAAAAGCGACACTAATCGATTAATTGATTTTGGGAGATGTCACTCACTAGCTATTTTGGGGACAACTTTTCCGTCTACTAGTACATCCATTGTTATTATTCTCTAAAGAAAATGATAACTGAATTGAAATACTATTACGTAGGTTCATTTATTAGTGTATCAAACAGTCCGAAAGTGTCATATATTTTTTACAAATATATTATTTCCAATTCCTACCTAAACGTCATTTTAAGATTATGAAACATTTGCGAATATGTCTAATAAAGTTATTTTATAATTTGGCCTATGATAACCTGGGGAAATTTGCTGCTAGACCGGATAATCACATATGTAGATATTGTTTACAGTAAAAACTTTGGCATTGCATTTTTCTTCATATTCACATTGGATTGTTTGTTCAGGTTCTAAGGTCTCATGAAACAAGGAATGTAAACTGTGGCATTGCTACCACCACGCGCTTAGCAGTAGTTCGCCACGTCTTGTCAAATACTGTTTTGCCATTACCTTGTATACTATCAGAAATTGATTGTCTATATGTTATTTTCATATGTGAAAACTTGTTATTGGCTAGTAGGTAACCAAATTAGATACCATGTATAAATAAACAGATGTGAGTTTTCCCGAATAAATAAATACCAAGGCGACCATTGTACGGTTGTACCCCATAATTCCACTATCCCCCTTTGCTCGTGCGAGATGACCTTATTTATTGGTTGGACTTGATGTAGCAACGTTTTTTGCACGTTACATACGTGATTCGCAATATTTCTTTTACCCCTTTGAATTTTTTACTCCACCAGTCTCACGGCATATACTCGTATTTATATCGTTGATGCTTGTGTATATTGTACCGCCTGCAGCGCTTTCTACACTTCAGAATTCGGAGCAAGCCCCGTGACAGTTTAATCTTTAAAAGAACTTCGCCATTGCTACACCGCTTTGTTGCAACTTAAAACAAAAATTGTGAGAAAATACTTGCAGTGGTCTGTTTTTGAGAGGATAACGTACAATGATTACCATATATAATAAAACGTTTCTTTGTGTGTTTCGATATATTGAAAATGTCTTAAATCTGCCGTACGTTCCTTGAGACAATAGATTATCAATTCTAGTGTTCATACCAAAGTTTACGACTATCAACCTGTATGGGATAAATAAAAGAAATTTATAGATACTTCTTCGTTCTTTTCGTATAGAGAATATTTTCACGAGTACTAAACGGATGCATAGGTGGGCTAGCTGATAAGATTATTCAGTTAGTTCAATTGGAAGTTTCAAGTTGAACTAACACACACCAAACATTCGGCTACGTACCGAATTTTAATGCGGTTGGCGCGTGCATTTCAACGAAGGAACCCTCGAATTATTTGCACTGTTTGCAACCGAATTGGAGCATTTCGCGGTTACTTCATATTCAAAAGACAAACTTATGCCATTGTGCATTTAGTATAGAGCACCATTGATATCCTAACATTACCGTTCGTAAGTACCTATAGCGACCGGATGCTTTGTTACTTCACATTTAGTAAATGGCAAAACTTCGCCGGATTCCTCAATCGATTTATAGTCCGTTCAATTCATATCATTAATGGCGATGTTATCGGAAGGGTTGAAATTGATCTGTTCAATAGATTAAGTGATGGAGTCTTGTGAGTGTTCATCTGCGCCATTCGAAACGACCGGCAGCGCGTTCAGGATTCGCAGCTGACGTTGTGAAACATTGAAAAGAAAATACAGTGAAAATCAGTGGGTGATTCTGGCGCGAATGAGTGAGTAGTGTATGGTGGTGCGGAGGATGCGCGGCAGTGCGTGGGTGCGGCGGAGACGCTAGCGGGCGCGGCAGCGGCGAGCGGAGAGGTGTCGGGCCGCGAGCGCGACGACTGGTGCCCGCACGAGGCACGGCGGCATGCGCTGACGTGCGCGCGGCGCTGCGCGTGCTGCGGCGCGGCGCGATGCCCTGACATGGAGGAGAGCGGGTACTGGCGACCGTCGTGCTCGACGCTGTCGCTGGCGGAGCCGCATGGCAGCACGACGCACCTGTGCGCGCGGCACGCCCCGCCGCGGCCGCACCGTCACCCGCACGCCGCGCACGCGCACGCGCTCGCGCACCAGCACCAGCACGCGCACGCGCACCACCTGTCGCACGCGCAACACGCCTCGTGCCCGGTGCACAGCCCCTTCAGGCAACCCACGCCAGAATATTGTGCAGCGCATTCACAGGTAACAGGTAGCTTTAATATATGTTGGCCGTACAGACTCACGCCGAGAAGCCCCAAGAACACCCGAGACACGTGAATATGATATGTTTCTAGCCTTCTTGTTCGCGGGCTCACCTGCTCGCCTCCTCAACCACAACCTCCGCCGGGTTTCGGATTTTTTGCCTGCTTTAAATAATTTCTCGGGCGAGAAAAGAGAACACCATCACATTCTCGTTTGAGTTCATTGCGTCCGGCGCAGTGTTAAAATTTACCTCTCCTTTTTCTTTTTTTTTGTCACAAGGTTATAGTGTGCTATTGCACACAATAACAAAGCGCCTGCACTAGCAAAGTCGTTCATTTCGGTTATCGATCGAGAACGCGAACTCGTTTCTCGCGTCATGCGTCATGTCCCAAAACGGCTCGATGAGGTTTCTTGCGTGAGTCTTTAAAAGAAAACTTAACAGCTAGTTTAAATCACACTAAAATATGTACTTATCGTATTTTCTGTTTGATTTTACTGTTTAACATAAAACATTTTAACTATACTCTAGATCTCGTGCTCATAACACAGTCTGATTAACCACGTGGCTGGTGTACATAATTATCGCTCCTTTATGCACATCTCCAAAATTTTAGCACACGCTAATGCAAATAAAAATAAGTACCTACTTATTTCAGTCTAATAAATTACATAGTAACCTTCCAAATTATTAAATTATAAGTTACTGCAAAAATCAATAACAAAGCATATTTTTTGTACCACGCTGTATTTTGTTTTAAATCATTTCGTTTCTAAGATCACGAACTAAAGCCAACAATGTAATTAAATTAATGTTCTAACTAAATTTATTACTGAAAATCAATTAATTTCTCTGAATTCGTCGAATTGAGAGAAATCTATTTATAACACAAACTCGAGGCTACTTTCTAAAATTTCAATTTACATAGTAATTTAGGACTAAAAAATTAAAATCTAAAGAAAGTTTTACTAGAAAAAATTAGTAGTTTAAAAAAAAACTAGACACACACGCTTTTATAAATGCACGAAAAAACTAAAAATAAATTATGGATCGTTCAAGATGTCGCTATTTCTGGCCTAAAGTGTAAACTATGTGCTCTTAATTATAATATTTGATTGTAAAAGCGTGGGGCGCTGGCACAGGAAATACTTTCTGTATAATTCACACTCGGGTTGAAGACAACAGCGGCTGTTGTTAAATTTAGTTTTAAGTTTAGAGAACCCTGCCAGAACCGTCGCCAATATGAGTATTCGCACATTTTTATTTAGTCACATTTCATTTAACATTACACAATATATTCAAATTCAATTATGTAACTCCAAGCTGAAAGCAAAATAATTTTAATTTAACGAAAGAGATTTCAGCCTACGCGACGGTTTGTGCCTCAGTCATTATGGATAAATAAATCGTAAACCCTATATATATCCTCTTCCGGTAAACGGTGTGGCTGTAATGAAAAGCACGAGATCCATAATTTTGTTAAGTCTGATTCCGAGCGAATTAATTATCTGAGTAAACAACTGTAAATTTTGTGTTAAAGAACAAATAACGTTTAATTCACATTCATTTACTGGAAGGGAACATCAAATAGAGTATCTATAAATAGACATTACAAGTCTCAATTCACTGGGAAGAAACATCAAATATATTTTATTAATAGAAATTGCGAGATAACATTAGATATATAACATTAAACGTTTATCAGACATACTACTTTTTTAATCGATATGATTTTTAGTTTTTGAAATAAAATAAAATGTCCGTAAGGCCGCGTTGTTTGAAACATACTTAAATTTGACAAAAGTTAATGTTTTAATGTAACGTCAAATACATAGCAAATGTGTAAAATTTTAACAAATGTTTATTTTTGAAGTGAAATTTCTGTGTGACTTAGGGGGTAGGCTGGCGAATGCGTTACGCGTGACGAGAAGTGTGTTCGTGCGAGGAGAATGGAAGTTGAGTCGGGGATATAAGCAAGAGAAAGCAGTGTGCGCGCACATTTTTTCTCTCTCTTTCTCTTATAGCTGGTAAATGCAATATGTATAATACATAAATATATATATATGTACACACACACACACACACACACACACATATATATATATATATATATATATATTCATACAGATGGCGCTAAAAAAGTTTCACATCACTCGTGTGGTCATAAGCACACTCGGTTTTTTTCTCTAGTATTTTAACTATAGTGAAATTTAACTATGTTTCAAACAACACTGCCTAAGTCTGTAACTGTAGAATGAGAAAAGCTACAATGTTGTATAATGTATTTGTAGAGGCTTAGCAAATTACTTCACCTCGCCTGATGTTGTCTTAAGTGATGCGTGAGTCTCACCTTGCCGACCTTAATTGTATTCCCCTTCCTCTTCAAGATTCAGCAGCCTTATCCACTTCAGCAACAAACATTACACAATAGTGTTGTTGCTATGCGGTTTTGTAAGATGGAGAATAACGACTTTCCCAAGCAGTTACTGCAATTTGAGGAGTACATTCGCTACACCTTTCTTCTCTAACATATTGTACTAATACGAAAGATAATAAACTATAAACAAAACAAATCTAAACACTAAAAATATTCCATAATAAAAGGATTCGACTCCTATTTCAACAGTAATAAATATAATATCATTGGTAATAAAGAAATAACCGGCCAAGTGCGTGTCGTGCTACGCGCAGGGTAGGATTCCGTAGTTGCCCGTTATTGCCACTAAACTTCAATATCAGCAGGTTTCAAGTGCTTCTTACTCACTCTGTTGCGTTGTCAGCAACAAAATAAATAGAGTAGGAAAAAAAACAAAGAAGAACAACAAGAAAAGGTAATAGAGTATATTTTTACAAGATCAACAAAATATTTACGGAAAACAGAGAGTACAAAAGGATTGAGAATGGGTGAGTGTGAGGATGTTAAGTGTGGAGGTGTGAAGTGTCAAGTTTAGTGGGCGTGGGTCGTCGGCGTCCTTCGTAGGAGCTTGAGGGTTGGTAGGCCGTTCCGTAGGTAGGCGGGCGGCGCTCCTGGTAGGCGGCAGCGCTCCTGGCCAGGGGCTCTCTTAACTCTCGGCCGGCGCTGCTGGTGGCTCGCAACTGCTGGCAGGTCGGCCGGTGAAGTGGTAGGACGGCGGGCACTGCTGGTGGAACGGCAGGCGTGCTGAAGCTACTGGAGGCTGGATGATGTAGCTGGCAATAAGTGTTCGTAGGATGGATGTAGAATGGTTTGCAGTTCAGTAAAGCAGAACATTATATAGCCAAAGGCTTCCGTACGGCTTTAAGGTCTTTGCTAAGTCATTTTAAAGGACTGATTCAACGATGCCCCACAAGATAGGGTAGACGATGAAAAAAACATCCCCAATTTACGTTTAGGCGAGCTACATAAATAAATATTTTTTTAAATTTTATTCTACCAATTTGTCGGCGTGATTGAAAAGTCTCTAAGCAAAACCTGGGACAGATAGAAAGACGGACATTACGAAACTATAAGGGTTCTTTGCCAGGACTACGGGACCCTAAAAGCTAAAGTTATTTCGCTTCGCTTTCGCTGACTTCAACGTATAAATACGAAACACAAATTCATCACAAGTAATTATCGCAAAAAAAAATTCTGTATGTACTCCAGCAGAATTGACAGGAGCAGTAAGCAATTTACACGTCACAAGTAAACTCATTTTCGTAATACCAAATGTATGTACATATCGATGTACGAGCATTTTCCGGGTGAAAGTGACACGTCACTGGTAATTCACAAGCGAGTCACGAGTTCTAAGGTCAACATCTGCACCTAATATATTACAAGTGCTCCCGAAACGGGGGCGCATTCAATGGCCGCAATTTGCATCTCATGCTGGAGAAACCAATTCATTTGATAAATCACAGCGGTACGAGGGAAAACTTTGAGACTTTATGGAATTTCCATTTGCGTTTTACTAAAGAGTTTTAATATACCTTTTTTTATTAGTATCCTATAGCAAACCAGTGAACCAAATGTTCACCAAGTGCTGCGTTACTCAAATCCGGTTTGTAGTCTTATCAGACTATTCTTAACTTATAACTTAAATATTCTCTTTATCTATCTCTTACGGTTTGGCCGCTGAAACAGCACCACAGACGGACGGTCTTGTCTAATAGATAAGAGATTATAATGCACCACTTCCCTTAATATAGGTTATTGGAATACTTTATACTCACACCAACAAAAGAATTTCATAGGTTCACGTCAAGCACAACTTTGCAGCACCTGAAGCAGACCCATTTCGATGACGTGTTATAGTTTAAAATTTACTAGAAATAATAAATGTTTTGCCAACTTACAATATTGACAAATCGCATCCCAGTTTCCATTACTGTCGCGATAGACTCAAACAAAGTCCACATGTTAAAATGTCAAACACCTATATATCATAAAATATCAGTATCACTTTATCATAATTTTCATATTTACTAATGAAGACAGCCTTATTAACGCTGTACCTAACGTTATTATTAAGTTAATATGGCAATAGCGGCAATATTGTGGCACTTTACTCTTGATTGATGATCGTGTACATTATAGTCGAGATTGATGTACATGGGGCGCCAACGTGCGTGAAAATAGGCATGACTCTTGTTTCGTAATGGTATTTTTTATGATGTCATAGTGACATTAAAGCTAAAGAATCCAAAAGCAAAAAAGACTCTTCAAAATAGTCTTCCATATTAAGAATCCGAAAATTAGAAATAAAAAATTGTGCGACCAAAACAAACACTTACATTGTAGTGACATAATAAACAGTAAATAATTTCAAAGCGTCGGGATGAAACCACAGATACTATGTCTAATTTTAAACTGATTGTGGTTATTATTTTAATTCCGTTGGTTCGGCAGTTCTCCATAAAATTTAAAGACCACTGGATGAAAAATCTGTGAAGTCCTCGCGCAGATTTCAAATAAAATACTGTCTTTGAAATCAGCTCGGAATATAAAAAAGGCCATTTATCTATCAGAAATAATCCTCTTTAACATTGCCACGAATTCCTTCCGTGCGTTTGACAATAGCAATCGCGAAGCGAAATTGCTTTTTGGGGAATACAA